CTGCTGCTGCTGCACCATCATTTTCCGCATCTTATCGGTTCCATTTTGCTCAGTTTTTTTTTTTTTCAAAAAAACAAGGAAAATACTTAAGTGCTTCACAAAATAAAAGCGAAGTTACGAGTTCAAACTATTTTGAAATAAAAATAATAAAACCATCTTGAAAAATGTAGACGGAGAGCCAGGAGTAAGCGAAATGAAAAAAAAAAAAAAAAAAAAACTGACAATCCTGAATATGAATGACAAAGTGAAAGGAAAATTGTGAATGAGATTTCAACACTCCTGAGATCTTCGACTGTATAAACATTTTGACAGAATCAGGTAATCAACCTCGCTGCTCGCCTCCGGACAACTTGGATCCGTTGTGAAACCATTTTTGTGAAAAAATGCAAGTGAATTGCCATTGAATGCAAAAACTGTCGCCATAATTTTGTCCATTGACATTCTAAAAGAATTTTCCAGTAAAGAATAATGCTTAGAGAAAAATTTCTATTTTGAGCTCAGAACTGATGGTGCTTTTGTGCGCTTTTCTACCGCCAGACCGAAGAGGAAAAATTCAGGCCTACGTGAGACTGACGTTTTCGTATTCTTAAACTACGATGTTATTCCATGCCTCCCTTTGACGTCTGCTCTTCGGCTGCATTATGCCTCAAAAAATGATTCAGTTCCCATAGATGATACCATTTCTGTGTTACTGAATTATCTAGCACAGGGCTCGGATGGTTGTCAGCAACAGACTGACTGTAACTGTACCGACAAGCTGAAAGCTCAACAAGCAATGTGATAACAAATTTACGAGTCTAGGCAGCTTAGATAAGAAGAATAAAATAAAAAGAAAGAACCGCTTCGCGAGGCATTCAGCAATTGACAGAAGAGCCGTCCCAATGCCTTTTGCCTGATATTCGCTTTCAACTTGGATCTCGTAACTGAAAAAAAAAAAAAAAAAAAAACTCCGTAGAGGAACAGACAGAAGAAATTTCACAATGAACCGAATTTTTATCGCCTACGTTTCAAATAATAAGTGTTCGGTGTAACAGCAAATAACAGCTGAAGTAGTTTCTTTGTGGAACGACTTTTTAAAGTGCCCAATAAAGACAGTTCGAATCACTAGCAAGCTGACACAGACTTGCTACCTGCAGAGACCGACGAGCTGTTAAGAGTTTAATTTTACTTTCTGCTAACAGTGGAGAGAATACCCAGCAGGCCAGACACAACGATTTACAGAAGCTAAACAAAACACAGCCGCACACAAACGATGATTTTAAAAATGAAGCATCGCACATTGAGTGGAAACATACTTCAAAAATTTCCTCTTCCTAGCTTCACCAGTTGCTGAGTTGAAAGCGAGTGAGAGAAGTGCGAATACACATAAAGACACACACACTTACACACACACACACACACATATCACCCACCCATGCACGCACATATATACAAACTGACAACCTCTTCTCAATATGCGTATGTGCATTTGCATAAATGTGTAAAAATGCATGAAAAAAAAAAAGCGAACCAGTAAAGCACTGCCGAATCATAGTCCGTGTCGAAACGATAATGCATGTATGCAACTGGCTTGCCATCGGCATTTTTTGCAATGATAAACCTAAACAAAACAATGCTAGAGGAACAAGTGCCCAGAATGTGAAGTAATTCGTAAGCTGTCTGCAACCGGAACTGCACCGACGCAAGCAAAACTCAACACGCCGACACCTCGCAACGCAGTAGCACAACGCAAATCAAGTTATGCAAAAACGAATAAAAATGTCTGGTACCTAGAAGTGGTGGCCCGGAGTTCCTGCCTTTTGCTGTGCTCATCGTAGCCCCAGCGCGAGATCTGATACATCGAACGCATATTGTCAACAAACAGCTGGAACACCCACTCAAACTGCTCGTCACTGAGATGTGTACCCCAGGCGAACGAAAAGTGAACCTTTTCGCTGAAACACGTAATGAGAGCAATTGACCATTGCAACTTCCAAGCATCTGTTGAGCCTGCATAAAACAACACAATTTCTAGATACCTTGGAATACTCTCGAAGCGTGAAGTGCCATCGATCGCATTCGCCGTGTTGGTCAGTTTCATCGCTTTTTTCACATATCTCTTTTTCACATCAAACTTCATCCTGCACCGACAGCTACTGAGAAAAACAGCTGCCTCCAAGTGGAACCGCTTTCTGCTAGCGACCCCTCAAAAAATGACCCTGCTGCTAGTTGGACATAAACATCCGTTACTTTATTATGGTACCTACTAAAAATTCAACCAGTACTACGCAGACGCATTTCTTCCCCATGTGTATGTTCCGGTGCCTTGAAGAACGAACAGAAGAAAGCAGCACACCGAAAACTACGCCGAAGCTACTCTGCGAAATGTGTGCACGGCGAGAGTGCTGACTTGGAAGAAGTTGACAGTTGCGTCTGTCTCGGAAAAGAACTATAACAGGCATTACAATTTTCAGTCGGAAAATGCACGTAGCACGGCTGCCGATTGGTATCGCCGTGAGCTGCGTGGGAAAGGCCACGTCCTAAATGCCAATTTTGTCACTATCACCCTCCAAAATTTAGGAGACAAGTCTAGAATAAGCCATCCCAAAAAAGTCATGTACCCCACTCCCGTCCCTCCTGCCTTTTCCCTCCCCCTTCTCCCGGATGGGAGGAAAGCAAACATTCGAGGAATGTCCCGCGCATTTCGAGGATGCCCCAGAAACCGGAAGAATGTCCCAAAAACTCCCCCTCCCCCCCACCCCCCGTCTCACGAGAGCTTGGCTCCGCCCCCACACTGGTTAAAAGTGTCACGGCCATTTGGGCACGTTGCCAATGAAGCCAGGTCCGTCAGATGAATGTTGGAATTTTATCGATGGCCTGGCAATTTGGCGTGGTTGCGTCGGACTGAGCGGTTGGTTCGCGGAGGCGCTCCGGTCGATGAGCAGCACTGGCTACGCAGCATCGCTGGTTGTGTTGGGGGCTGCCCCGTCGTTGCTGCTATGGCTCAGTTGGCGTCGCGGCTATCGGCTCTCTTCCGAAGTGGAGCACTGGGGGGTCTGCATGGGAGCGTACGTGAGGATGATGAGGCAGTAGACGGCCGGGGTTAGCTGGCTGCGACCTTCCTGGCGCCTCTTGGAAGCGCTTTCTGTCTCGGCCTCACATATTACTGCAGGAATTCTGGGTAGAGCAATGTGTCCACACATTCTGCTTGCTTTTCTCAACGCTTCGGCATTTCTGGATATGCTGCGAGCTGGCGCAGCCGTTACTAGCTATGCAATGTGGTAGTGTAGAAAAGACGCTAGCTTTGAGGAGGAGGGGAGGATCCCAGAATATCGCGGACTCCCAGGGCGGCATCCCTTGGCCAGCACAGCACACACTGTATTATTGCTGGGCCATTTTGATCCATTGATGATTTGCTGAGCGTCGTCGCACTTCTTCGTTCCCAGTCCTCTGAGCTTGTTCCGCTTAATGGATGCTTTTTTTGCAGGTAAAAAATGACGACGGGTGTGACGTTGCAGATGTGTGGCACTGTTCTCGAGGAGCTGCTCAGCGAGGGCTGGCCGGTTGCCGCAAAGCAGCTGGACCAGTTCTTCTGCGGCATGCCACCGGCGCACTATTTCGTCGAGCTGAGAAAGCGCCTTCTGGATGTACGTCTCTTTTTTCGGGCTTCTCTGAGCCCGGGGATGTGTCCAGCATACTCGAAAAAGCACACACAGATAGTTTGCGTTGCTTCATGCATCTATCATCCGGAGGCATAGGCGCACCCAAGAGTGGAGAGAGGATGGGGGTGGAGTTGCTGCAAAAGCCCGGGTCCAAAGCTAAAACTAATAAAGTGAACTAAAGCCTAAAGTAAGTAACTCTAAACGAAAGTAACTTTAAACAGCAGTGTTACAATTCTTCTTCTAGTTTTTCCATAGTTCCAAGATGGGAGGGATTCCCCTTCCCTTCCTGCTTTCGGAGAAGCCACATTAGCAGTGTTTCGAGAGCGATCGGGGTGGTGCTGCTGCTCGCTGCAGTCGCCGGTGCCGCTTGTTCTGTGTTTGTGCGCATGCGGTGGCTGCAATTTGGAGCGTATAGCAGACTGGCTTCCTCATGTTCAGTGGATTCTTCCATCTGAATGCATCATAGCCGAGGCACAGCTCTCTTAATCCCACTGCCACCCAGAAGCCCCCTCCCCTCTCATCCTTTCCCCTCTTCCCCGCCCCACTTTCGCCCCCAACTGCGTGCTTGAAGTAAAAACGATTTTTTCCCTAATAGAAAGAGTTATGACTGCGATATATTGCGCTACACTCTTAGGGAGTGTTCATTGAGACTTAGTGTCACCATTATTCGTTTCGAACTCCTCACTAGTACCCTTGTTCCTCTCCTCTACCTTGCTCCAATCCGTGCCCATCCCCCCTTCCCTTGTCACTTCGATTGGACTGGATACTGCTCACCACCGAGACTCAACATTGCTCATCTGAGACTTGCTGCAGCAGCTTTGACAGGTTCATGCTTGCTGCACTCTCGACGCAGACAGTTTTGTAACTTCGGAACTATGAAGCAGCTAGAAATTCGAAAATGTTTGCACAGGGTGGCTTCCGAATTATAAGAAGCAAGGGGAGTGGTACAGGAGGATACATCTCATCAGCGCTTTTTGTTTAACGCAATTCCTTTCAGGCGGATATGCGAGATTTTGGGATACCGATGCTCGCCCAGCGTGTTAACAAACAGCTGCGTGAATTTCAGGCAACTTTCGCATCATCCACTTAATTAGCTATTTTTTTTTTTTTTTTTCTTAACAGCTTACTTGCTTGCTGCCTGCAATGCCAGCTGGCGTTTTTGGCTGTTTTCTGCCAGATGGACCACTCGTATGGCCTCTTGCAATCCCTTCGTAACGGAGTCGATTTGGCAAAAAGGCATGTAAACATGGTTAAGGGCACTGCGCTATTAATGCATCCGGATCACATTAGAACGTGGCAGTCCTAGGGCAGCAAATAAGCAAATTTGATTTTTCAGCAACGACCATCCGGTGGTGAAACCGAGTTGTTTAGGGGAGAGGATTTTGCGATTGATGGGCCACAACGGCCCGTCCCGAAAAGCGTGAGCAGCGATAATTCACTTAATGGACCGAAACATTTCTTACCATTATAATAATTTTATTACAATAATTTTACTAATTTCAGCATTTCTCACTTGCCATCTTCCTCTTTGATTCGTCTTATTTCAACCGTTGTTAATATAACTTTCTGTTAACATAAGCGCTTCTGAGAGAGCGATTCATTGAAGACGCATTCAATTCTTATGTTTTCTAAGATCTGCCTTTTCTGTGAAGTATTTTCAGGGTCCACTGGTTGTACAGATGACCAAGGCACGCAATGTTTCACATCCGAAGCATGGCGAAAAGGCGGTTTCGGATGGACTGGTTAAGGTACAGCTGGGCGATGGCTATGCGACAATTCAAGCAATCCTTACGGAGCCGATTCCACTGCTTAAGTAATTCGGTTTTGTTGTCTTTGAGATGAACTGGAAGAACCAATTCCCTATTTGATCTGTTTTGGTGATAAATTGACATCAGCGTTCCCACCTTGCCAGGTGCCATCATCGTACGCTTAATTAGCTGCTGGCAATCAGCGGCAACCTTGCGAATTGTTGGCCACTGCTAGCAGTCACTTCCGGACCACTTCTGAGCACCTCTTCTCTCTTGTTGGGGAGGGGAGTAAGCGACTTCATTATGTGTTATGTTGCAGCGGATGAATTTCTTTGTAGTGGTGAAACAGCGCCGGGCACAAAGTGTCGTTTGGTTGGACGTATTCCGCTCGAGAATGGAATGCTGGTTGTTAACCGAAGCAACTTCGAAGTGCTTGGCGGCTTCGTCCTTCCTATGGTTGAGAAGTGGAAACTAGAGAAGGTTTGCAAGTTGAACTGTTTTTAGTGCCTCAGGTTTTTTTCCCGAATGAATCCACGACTGGGCTTTTCAGAGCTGGCATCAGAAGGCCATACGTTCACCCGGTGAGGACGATGCTCCAAAATGGATCCAGTTTTCGAACCAGGTAACAGATTTTGCTATGTTTCCCAGAACCTTCATTTTCTGGATGGAATGTAATGTTATCCATAAAGTTAGCCCGCTACACAATCCCATACAATTTGTTTTAGAAACCGTCGGAGTCTATGGTTCCGGAAAATGACACAGTTTCGATGTCACAGACGGATGATATTACCACCGCAATAGCGAAAATAGCTGTGGACGAACAGGGCAGCGAGTGCGATACCGCAGAAAAAATTCAGATTGAGCCGGTTGCTGAAGCCAATTCTGCGGGCAAATTTGCTTCCGGCCAAGTTTGTGAAATTCCGATTCTGCCGAACTCTCAATAATGCGTTAGTGAAATAGTCTCAGACGATCTCAGAAAGTAATATTTGCACATCTTTTTTTTCCTCTCTCTCTCTGTACAGAAAGTTATTTTTACCGCCGAGTTACAGCAAGTGGAACCGAAATTCCGGGCATCTGAACTGAATATGAAGACAGTTGACAACGGACCACCCATTCCATACAGACGAGCAGCAGGGGAAAAGACGAAGTTTACGGCGGAATCAAGCAGGGTTTGTGTTGCTCCATAACGCTTCATTAATTTCTCTTTCGAGTAACATGATAAGTTAATAATTCTTTGACTTTTAATTAGCAGGTTACTTTTGAAAGTGAATTTTTCTCGCCCTCAGACTTCTCTGTTTTAGATTTAGCTGCAGCGATATTCCCTAAGCACTGCAGCTTACACCCACGCATTTTTGCTCGTCATTTTGCTGAGGAGGCAGTTCTGTTTCACAGTGGCTTTTTAAAACGCTGAGGTTGTAGGATGTTTTTGATGCTGTGTAGAAACTCCTGCTGCCAGGCGAAGCCATATGTTTCAAACTCGCAGTACTTTAGAACAGATATTTCGGCCGAGAAGACAGAAGAAATTTGTTGGAAGTGCATCGACCGTCGAATCCTCCGACCCTTTTCGATTTCGTTCAGACGAAAATATCCCTCGCAGATGAGACCAAAGAGCATGCTCATACGTCAGTCAAGGTTGCACAAATTTTGTGTAGTTAAATATGGTTGTGTCTCACTGAAATCATTTTCTTAGCACGGCCTTTATGCAACGAATTGTTTTTATTCTAAGGCACCAAAGATGGGACCGGGCGAGCGAGCTTTTGAACAGCGTGGGCCAAGAAGACATCGAGGAGGCGCGAATAAAGGTATGCATGCCTCCCTCTCTCAGCTTCAGTTCTTATTGAATAATTCCACTGCTATTTCGCTGTTTTTATCGTTAACTTATTCCTAAAGGTATGGCATACGGACCACGTGAGCAACAGGGATTCTTCAATGGACCACGCGTCTTCGAAAGCGCAAATGGGAACCGAAATCGGCGGCAGTACGGTTTCCGCGGAGGGCAAAGAAGGGAGATTCCAATGAACGATTTTGAAATTATACCGGAACAAGATATGCAGCGCTACGCTTACGAGTACCCGCCAATCGGAGCTACCAGTCAAGGTCCAGTAACTGTTGCTGATTTCGGGAAGAAGATTGGGTGGGCATGAGAAAATTTCCCGTTTTTTTTTTTTTTTGGATGCTTCGGAAATCTGGAATTGCTTTTTTGGTTTACTGTAGTTTTTGGTCTGCAGTCGGGGATTTTTATCATTTTTGATTATTAAAGACAAAGATTGTGTTTAAAAAGAAAAAGAAGTTGTTTTAACGAAATTGCTAGTATTCCGATACTGGAGTTGGTGCTTTCAATGTTTTCCTTTTGTTCTGTGATGTATATGAAAATTTCATGTTGTTTTAAGGCTCTATTAATAACATATGATTACAAGCTTAGCCTAAACTGAGCTGATCAGTAAGGCTGTGAATAAAGCAATATTCAAACTGGTAGCTGAAATGACATCTGGTTTTGAAGCTTCAATTTATGTTAGTGGGCGCATCTGTTGTATTAGCACCAGGGCATGCATCCTTTGGTTTTGAGCATGTGATTCGCTATATTTTCGATCTGGTGGGGAAATGGATGCGAGAACTCGTGATTGGCAAAAGTCGATTTTTCTTTTTTAACCACTTTGTTCCATCATTTCTTTTTCCACTCGCTGAATTTGGTTCATGTTCAAGCCCAGTTTGAAAACTGGCGAAGTTTTGTTGAAATCCTTTCTCATCTCTCTCCGACCACTTCACATGCCTACTGAATCCAAAAAACAGTACTTTAGCTGAATAAAATCTGTAAAATTTAGACATTTATCAAATTTCACATGCATACTCACCGGGGCAGTGTTTAGAGCCGGTCGAGTTCATCCCTCACGCTGAGCCGTACGATCCTGCTGAGTTTTACACTGCACCGCCATCTTTTCCGCTGCCGCCGCCACCACCGCCACAGCCGGACATAGTTTATTATCCCCGGGATTATGTTGTTGAAGACAATCCAGGAATGATGCCGCCCCAGCCACCCTATTATGCGGTCGCTGAAGTACCGGTTTGGAAAATTGGAGACAAGTGTTTTGCTCCCTGGAGGAATCGAGCGGTCCGTGTTAGTGCTACTGCTCATTCTCAGGCTACTTTTTGTTGTTTTTTTTTCTGTTTTTTTGGCAGTTTCCGGTTGCCTCGGTGCTGTGCATGAAGACCAATGAAACGAGAGCACTAGCCAAATTACTGATACATGAGATTTTCGCGGTTTTGCTACATGAATGGATTGTTTTGCAGTTTTATCCGGCAACAATAGTGTCGATGGGCCCGGTTGATATGTGTACTGTGGAGTATGAATATTACGGCAATCAGGGCACCGTCCCGGTCGGGTCACTTCTGCCGTACGATCGCTTTTATGCCAATTACGCCTATCATTAATTTGGCGCATTTTTTTTTAGCGCAGTGCACTCTGTACCTCACTACCCCATACTGAATGAATGCATTATCATTTCTGCTTATTATTATTATTCGCTCCGGGTCTCTCATCACAGTATTGATCATGTGTGTGTTATCTCAGTTCGATGCCCCGCCGTTATCACTCATATTGCACTTATAATTTTTTAATATGCTGCTGCCCCTTCCTCCTCTGATCACTTGTATCCCTGTTGATCCCGTCACGGTTCCTCTCAGACTGGTGCTAATCATCTTTTTTTTCTTTTATTTGTTATTGATTTGTCTCCCGGATATTGACTTTTTTTTTTCTTCTGTATTTCTTTTAATGTGTAATATGATGAAGTCAGTTGTGCAGAGTTGCCGCTGCCCTCAGGGTCTCTTGTGTAATTATGCAGCGCCGGTTTCTTTATGTCCCAGTGTTCAATGGTTGTGCCTTCCGAGTGCA